TAGTTTTGAAAAATAACTTATGTTTATAAAATTTAACTTCTAATTATTAGTTAAATTTTGATAAAATGATATATGTAATTAAATTATGACACATTTCAAAATCAGTTTTAATCTTACATTTTTTGATATTATAATTTTTAATGCTGAATATTTATTATTAAATAATTTTATTATTTAAAAATATATTTAAATAGATATATTAATGTAATTGCAGATGAAATAATTTTCAGATGAGATATTAGTTACAGAAAAATAAAAAAAAACAAAATTAATTCTTAGATAATAGTATATTAATAAAAATATAAGATTAACAAATTACTATTTTTTAGGTTATAAAATATTCAATATAGTAGGAATATTAGATATATAATTTTTAGATAAGTTGGAAAAAGAATGTAAATTTTAAAAGTATTAAAAACTAATTTGGATTTCTATAAATAATAAATTATTTATTTATATAAAAAAAAATATTAAAAAATATTTTTATAATTTTGTAAATGTTTAGTATTTATATTTTTTAATAAATTAGTTATAGGTATATATATATTAATTTAGAATTTAATAAGAAATATTTGATTTATAATATAAAAGTTTAAAAAGTTTTTAATTTTTATTTCCTATTACAAGAAAATCAAATTATAAAAAATCAGTAACATATCATATTTACTGTATAGAAAACAATTCTTAACTTTGTAAAATACTATATATAACACTTTCTGTTAATTTAACAAGTATTAGATACTTTTTTATATATAATAAAACATTAAAAATATTTAACATAAAGATTATAAAACAAAATATAATAAGAATTTTAATAAATAAAGAAAAATTGAACTTAAAATAAAAATTTTATAACTAAAAAAGAAGTAAATAGAAAAGCTAATTGTAATTACATTAAAAATCCTATTTAAAGTTCTTAGTTACATAATATTTAATCTCAAAAGGATAAAATTTTGAAATTTATATCTTTATTGATTAATGTTTTTAAATTTGTAAATTTTTTAAAAATAAAGAAGTTGATAAATTGGTTACTATATATAATATTAATATTAAAGATTACAATTAATATTAAATTAAGAGATTTTTTTAACAAAAAAATTATACAATTATTGAAGAATAAGAAATATTATATGTATTAGCTAATATTACTAAATAAAATGAAAAAATAAAATTAAGTAAATAAAAAAAAAAGAAAAAAAAATGTAAGAGAAGGAGAAAAAAAAAAATACTATTTAATAATGCTAAAATTTATAGCTAAATTAATATTAATTTAAATTAAAATAGGAATTAATTAAGTAAAATTTTTTTTTAATAATATTATAACTAATAAATATAATTTAAAAGTATCATAAATATAAGAATATATAATAATTAATAAAAAAAATGAGTATTATCAAAATTTTTTTACTTTTAGTTTTAAAAAACTTATTATTATAAATATTATAATAAAAATTTTATTTTTTATATTTTATACATAAATTACATAATTATGAACTTAGAAAAATCTTTTCTTTTTGCTATTTTACATATATTACTATCTTTAAAATATTATTATATCTTTATTTTAACTTCAATTTTAAAAATAATTCACTTTTATAATAGATTTTATAAAATATAAAAAAAAATTATTAAAATAAAAAGGTAAATAATTATATTTCAGTATAAATTAATTAAATTGTATATTAATTAGAAATTTGATGTTTAATTATAAAATAAAATGATCAGTTTAATATTACACAAATTAATTTCTTATAAAAATGATCTGCATATGATATTAGAAAAAAATCACCTGTTTTCAGTTTTGATCTTTATGTTTAATTTTCTATTTTACATATATTTTTTATAAATAATAATAAAAAAAGTATTGTTTTTGAAATTATATAATAGTACTTGAGTTTATAAAACTTATTAAAAAATGTTCTTGAATTAATTTCAAGAATAAGATGAATTTTTTCAAATTATTTACAAGTTCAAGACATGTTGAATATTTGTTTTGTAAAACTAGTTAATTAAAATAACATCATTTCCTATTATTTTTTATATTTATCATTTTTTTGAATAAAAAGTAGCAATTTGAATTTTATTAAGTTTATTAAAGTTGTATACACTGTTTAAGTTTTTTTTTAATTATATTAATTACATATTTACTTATTTTTAAAATAAGAAAATGCAAATTTAACTTTTATATAAAAAACATACACCATAATTATTGTCAATTTCTTAATGCCGTAATGCAGGCCGGCGTTAGAATTTTCTGTGATACTGGGTAAATTAACGCTCGCAGTCACATGATTACAAATATTATTATTTATCGTTTTTTAGTGGCGCAGCGGATTTAACGTTACTTCGCAGTTTGAATTTGACTTCGCTACGTAAATGTTCACTTCGTAAGATTTGTTTTTTTTGATTCATAATTATCAAGACATCATAAAGAAGAGATGGATACTTGAAAGTTTGGATAAATTACATCAAATTTTTATTTAACAGCAAAGGGAACTACCATTAGTTTATATCTTAATTCCATATTCACTAAATCCAGATTTCCGAAGGAAAGCCATTTTTCCGAACCTTGCTTTTCCAGTTGATAATAATGCAAAATTTTCAGGAAAATGACCGTTCGGGATATCGATATTCGAGATAACGGGGATAATTGCAATCTGGAAATTTGAGATTTCGGGCAAATCTCCAGTTCGGCAAATTGGCTTTTGAGAAAAGGTATATTCGGGAAAATTGTATTCAGTAAATCGTCGTATTTTAGTATTCTTTGGGGTCCATTTAAAGTTCTTTTCAGGTGTTAAAAATAGCTTAACTTTTTGGCATAGATAATTATTTATTTAAGGAAAAACAACATTGCGTCTTGATAATAAATCGGCGCAGTCAATAGAATAGATTTTGGGACTTTGCGAGTAATTATGTAACTATCAAAGAAAAATTCGTCACAAAATTTTTTTACATATCAAAAACTAAAAAATACATTCCATTTTTGGATTTATCCTTCAAACTCCGATTCAATGCTTGCATCAAAAATTTCACAAAGATGTTTTTTAATAAATCCAAGAATAAAATTATTTAAAGTATCACTTTCGTTTAAAAATGCACAATGACCATCTTCGATACCTAAAATAACGATTTCAGAATTCGGTATATTTTCCGCAAGATTATACTGTTCAGAGATAGGAAATAATACATCCTCTTTCAAACCTATTTTTTAGGTAAATTACAATCAATAAAGAGAAAATAAAATAAAATAAAATTTTTATAAATAAAAAGTCTTTGAAAAAGTTACCTAATATGAGAGCTGGTTGATTAATGGATTTTAATACGTTGTTAATATCTCCACCTCTTCCATTAGATATATCATGATTGTCCAACTTGTGAGTTAAACTTATGTAGCAATTTGCGTCAAATCTTTTAATAAACTTGTCACTTTGATAATTAAGGTACGATTGTACTTGATAAAATGGTGGCTCATTTGCGTCATAATGATCGGGTTCTTTTACATCTCTACCAAAATTCAATTCAAAAGCATTCCTTGACCTATAAGTGATAAGCGCGTTCATTCTAGCAATAAACAATCCTTTGCTTGGAGGCTAAACAATTTAGATATTTTTTAGATCCTAAATTCTTTTCTTAAATAAAAAAATATATATTTACTTACATTCTCTGGGTCATAAAAACCATTACCTTTTTTATTTTGAAAATACAATATTTTTAGAAATACTCTTATAGGTTATTTATTACATAATTCTAACATTTAATTCACTTACAATATAAAGGATCATTGTAGATGGTTTGTCTTTGAACCTCATTCCAAGCAATGGCCCAGGCAGATAATTTAGCACAAGTAGCGATAGGAACTATCGTTTTAACAAAATCTTCATCCCCGTCCTTTTGCTTACCGACAAGAGCCCATTCAAGTACTTGCATGCCTCCTAGAGAACCTCCAATACAAATTGCTACCTGTTTAACTCCCAATGATTCCAAAACCAATTTTTGTAACCTTACTCGACAAACAACAATGAATTAATAAATTTAAGAAAAATTCAAAAGGAAGTGAAATGTCCAAATTTGTAATACCTAACATCATCTCTCGGAGTTGTAAGTGGAAATGTCGGACCATATAATTTTCCGGTATCGGGGTTGATCGTTAATGAAGATGAGGTTCCATAGGCTGATCCGAGTACGTTTGCACAAAACACAAAAAATTTTGTAGTGTCAAACGCTTTACCCTTTCCAATCATTAACGGAGACCATATTTCCGTAAAATCAGCGCTACCGGTATAAACATTGCAAATTAACATCACATTATTCTTTTTCTGATTTAATTTTCCCCAAGTTTTATACGCTACCGATACATCGTGCAAAACGATTCCCGAATGTAGCTTAAACTCGGGTATAATGATTATACTTTGATCTTTAATTATTGAAACAAATTTATTTTCTGGTAACTGTTTCATTTTGAATTAAATTCAAATCCTTGAAAGCCTTTTTCGACCTCTTTAAATAATTTATTAAAAGATCTGTTTGTGTTCAAAGATCGTCTTATTCTCATAATGACTCTAGCTAACATGATGATTAAAGATTAAACAAATACTGTGTCCGATGATAATCGTGATGTTCAGTACATTCTAAATGTCATTTTATGGCGCAGAAAGTTTCAAAATTCGAAGTTCCCTCGGTTTCTTATTGGTTGCAAAGTGGCCTCAAAAGTTTTGTACCCGAACTCGCATTTGCCACACGTTTGTATGTTGTATGCGTTTAATTTATGAGTTTCTAGCCTTTTATGGTAAGTGTGGTGAGACAACATGATCCTTTGATAAATGCACATTAAATGTTGTTGTACATTTAATGTTCAAAAAATAAATACTCTGTGTTAAAAAAAAAAAAAAAAAAAAAAGGTAAATAAAAGGCATATAGCTCTTTTTTGATTTTATTTACCTCACTTAAAAAATTGCTATACTATTTTTTTTTTATTTTTTTCGCAGTTTTAAAAGAAAATTATGAGCACTTCAAATAATAATAAATTTTTATGGAAATTAAATACACGATTAAGAATATCGGTATTACTTATAATCATTTTATTTTTACTAGCTTATCAAATATTTGTAATATTAAACCAATTTCCGGATATATTAGAAAAACCAAAACAATGGTGGAATGATACTACTGATACTAGTTCTCCTTCGCAAAAACCAATTATTCACGCTCCTATACCTCCCTCTTCGGAATATAATAAATTAGGGGATGATGTTATACTATATAATGTTTCATCCTTAACAAAAATTCAATACGATTTCCCCTACTCGAGTTTAAAAAAACAATTTATTGAAACAAAAGCAGAAAGAAAGTTACGAGAAGATCGTAAAGAATCGATCAAAAAAGGATTTTTACACGCATGGAATGGATACGTCAAATACGGTTGGGGATCGGATGAAATTTTACCTATAACTAATACTTCAAGGAATAATTTTAATGGATGGGGAGCCACGATGGTTGATGCATTAGACACCATGTGGATAATGAACCTTAAAGCTGAATTTACGAATGCTACAAACTATTTAGCTAATGTTAATTTTACTAATTCAAGGATGGAAATTAGTGTATTTGAGACCACCATAAGATATTTAGGCGGATTATTAAGTGCGTACGAATTATCTGGTAAAGAAATTTTGTTAATAAAGGCAATAGAATTGGGTGAAGCTATGTTAGTCGCTTTTGATTCTCCTTCTGGATTACCTTATAACGATTTGAATATCACGAGGGGAAGTCATAAACCAATTTTTCGTACGGGGGTTTTATCTCAAGTTGGAACGTTACAATTAGAATTTATGAAGTTGGCTGAATTAACCGGAAATAGCACCTTCTTCTACGCCGTATGTAGAGATAATATAAGGGGGAGAGGGAATATTCTTTAATATTAAACTTAATTAATTTATATTTATAGGTGCAAAAGGTAACAGATGTTCTTGATAAAGCTAGAAAAGAAATTCCCGGTCTTTACCCCCTCTATATTAATATAGAATCTGGAAAATTTACTAGTCGTAAGTTGAATTCTCTTCGTATATCACGCGCGCATACATATATGAAATGATATATCCTATATTTTTCGTTATGTAGACCAAATAAGTTTCGGAGCCATGGGTGACAGTTTTTATGAGGTATTCATTTAACATAGCCAAATCTTATTATATCCATGCATTAGTAACGATTTGAAGAATTTTTATTATTTAATTTCTTTAGTACTTGATCAAGCAATATGTGTATGTTGGAGGTGCAATTGATCAGTATAGGAGAATGTGTAAGTGGATAGATTTGTAATATTAGAATTCACTTTAGGAAAGATTATGAATTTTTTTACTTTTTGTAGATGAAGAATCGATTGACGGCATGCATAAATATTTGGTAAAGGAAGGTCAGGTCAAAGATCGTCCTGATTTATTATTCCTTGGGGAATACACTTCTGGTAGAATTGGTTCATTTATTTCTAGAATGGAACATTTGGTAATATTATATCTTATTCTTCTATAGAGAAACTCGTATACCTATACCTTTATAATTAATCTTTTTTTTTGTTTGTGAATTAAAGTCCTGTTTTACGCCAGGAATGTTGGCTATTGGATCAAAAATTTTACATCGACCAAAAGATTTAGAAGTAGCAATAAGATTAGCGGAATCATGTTATTGGGCTTATAATTCAACAACGACGGGAATTGGACCGGAATCTATGTATTTTTTGACCAAAGATGCGAAAGCAGTTTCAGTCTGGCATCATGGTGATAATTTACCTGATGGACTTTATAGAATAGACGGAAGTTATTTACTTAGACCTGGTATGTGATCAAATTTAGAGGAAGTTGAGAGTGTCTATACACTGCATGCGAGAATAATTTTTTCCTTTTGAATTTTTCATTAGAAACTATTGAAAGCTTATTTATTTTGTATCGAATTACTGGAAATAAGAAATATCAAGAAAAGGGGTGGAAGATATGGCAGGTAATAATCGAGATTTTGCTCAAAATTCAAAGATTTTTCAATGATTACACTTTATATAACAATTATTTATAATTTTATTTAAATTCACAAGTCAATTGAAAAATGGTGTAAAACGCCAATAGCTTATTCCGGGTTACGTGATGTAATGGATGAAAAGCGCCTGCAAAATAATAATATGGAAAGGTAAAACCGTCGAATTCATTTATTTGATTATTACAATGCATTTATTAAATAAAGTCTTGTTGATAACCATTTTTTCTTTTTCTTCTCATTAGTTTCTTTTTGGCAGAAACTTTAAAATATTTGTATCTATTGTTTAGTACACCTGATGTAATTTCATTAGATAATTATGTGTTTAATACTGAAGCTCATCCTTTCTTAAGGATGACTCCAAAATAATTATTAATTTAATTAATTAGATCTAAAATAATTTAATAGTTTTGATATTACTAAATTACCTCCATCCACTGTTCTCAGGTTTGAAGACATTATGGGAATAAAATTGTAGAATATAGAAAACCTTATTTATTTATATCTCATAAGCTTATATATGTCACATGACCAGTGTTTCAAAAGTAATGTCTTCGGTCTCAGGCTTCATGCTTTATATTAATTTTTTTTTAAATTTTATTTAAGAGATATATTTAGTTTTTACTTGTATTAAAAGGTTCCGAAAAATAATCTATCAATTGAATAGAATTTAAACAGATAATTTATAAAATCGCCGCGCCACATATAAATTGATCAATCCCTATAAAGATCCAATGTTTTTTTTTTCTTTTGCATTAAATTATTATCATTATATTCATCACCAATTCTTTTAAATTTCCATAATATTATGCAATTATCCACAAATTTAACTTTTTGTTAATGTTTTCTTTAGCAATATGGCAACCAATTAAGACCAACAAAATACAAAAGGAATAATGCAAGTAATTGCCAATCCTATGAATCAGTCCTTCACGACGAATACTTCGACCAATAACTCGCAAGATTTCTCAAATTGACAATAAAATACTGTAGAGAGTGGATGCAATAAAGTTAGTTAAAAATAATATTAAAACTAATTAATAATAAAAAATTATTTTAATGTTTTTTTAGGAATATAATGTTTGATTTCCTTTCATCTGTTGCTAAATATTTATTTATTAATTGGTAGAAATCAATTTGCTTCGATTATTAAATATTTTATTACAAAAGGCCTAATGTAAAAGAAAAATTACGTTATCTTCTATTATTGATGATTGATTGCAATAAAAATATATAATATTTAAATGGAGAATTTATCATATTACAAAAGTTTTTATTATATAATAATTCTTTAATACCGGATGTTTGCAAAATGATCATATCAACTTATATTTCATCATTGAGTATATAGAAAATCGGTACGGTACGATTCGCTTGACCTGACATGCTATTTGAAAATTTCACAGTAAGAAAATTTTAACATGAAATTTTTATGAATTAAAAAATCTTCTATAGTAAATTTAATAATAGAAAGAGAATAAAGAGATCCAAATATCAAAGGTCTTTTCTATAACATCACAAAATAACTTTGAACCTTGACATATGCCTATTACAAATCATTTATGATTTATTAAAGCGTGGATAATCTGGTTGTAGGTATTTTAAAAACACAATATAGAGATATGGCAAGAAGTAATCGGACTCTGATTTTTTTTTTTTATTATATTAAAAATTTATGAACAAAAAGGAATGAAAATGAATATAATTACAATATGAAAGGGTCGTACAAATTAGATTTATGGCAAAACCGGTTAAAAAAGGTATTTTATGATAATTATTATATGAGTATACTAATCTATCAGTTATTATATATATCTATTAAGCACATTATATTTTAAATATTATCAACTCTCGTAATTTTCTAAACCTATGTATTATGTACCTTGGTGCTAAAAGCTTTCGACGAATAAGTTTGATAATTAAAGGCATCATCTGAGTACCAAAACAACTTCTTATGGAACAGGTAATTCCTCTTCATCTTTGCAAGGACATGCACCATGTCTTATGTAAAGCAACATTTTTTTGTAGAAATTAAAAGAAGTTCAGCATTAGGTCAGTTTCTTTCGAACCTCCCAAGTAGTAAGTATTTTAACGCTGCAAGTAATATTTAGTACTCAAAGGTGGCTAACCCGAGAGAATAATGAAGCTATGGTTATACAATAAATTATAAATTTTTATGCATTGGGTCAAGACAGGTATCACGTAAAGCGCGGATCATTGGTTTTGTTAAAGTGTTTTATAAATACAGTCAAATCTATCTAAATACACCCCCATAGTGAAAATTTTAAAAAACGTCATTTAAAGAGGGTGCGCATTTAAAAATTATTTCTATATATGCTTGGAACTGAACGAGAGTGTGCATTTAGAGAGAATTGACTGTATACTATTAACTACTTCTATATACAGTGGTGTGCAAAAAAAATGGCAATTTTTAAAATTGCGAGATTTATACAACCATTAAACCAATTAAAACATACAATATGCTAAGAAGCAGTAGATTCTTTTTTAAAAAAAAATTATATAATATTTATTTACCACTTTTCTCAATAACCTTCCTGCAATGTCGTGATATCAAATCTACAAAATCAATTACAAGGCTATTTGGTATTTTTTTTCCTACCCACCATTTATAATAAAACTTTTAAATTCACTAAGGTTTTTTAGCCCATACAATCCCATATTCCTTTTAATAATTACCCAATAGTTTTCAATGAGTTTTAGACCTAGATTATTAAAATACCAATCCATAATCTTTAGGACATCATTTTCGAAAAATTACTTATAAAATGACTAAAATGCTATTGCTAAAGCATTTTTAAATTTAATTTCTCCAACTTTAGTTATAGTTTTATGTGAAATCCTTATAAATAAGTGTATTTTAGCAGCACTGTGTATTTCCTGTCTTTAGAAATTTAATCTATTTTTTTGCCTAGTTAAGATCACTTTAAAGCTCAATAAACTAAATATTTTATTAAAGTATAGGAAAAATTTTGCTTGAAATAATATCTTAATTATAAGGCTTTATTTGCATATTTATTCACGTATAACGATCTGCCGCAGTAAGAATTTTTTACAGATTTCTAATACTAACTATGATTCAATCTACATGCTAATTTATTAATATTGAACTTAAATTAAATTATTTTTATATAAAAAACAAACAAAATTCTAATTACATTTAACGAAAAATTACTTTCTAAATATATAAATAATCACTATTCTATTAATTTGGAGATTTGGATAACAACACCAAAAACTGTTTTACATCAAATTTGTCCTTTTTTTTAAAAAAAATAAAAAACAAAAAAAAACGCGCTATATTAAAATCCCCTATTTTGATGATCTTGCTGTTCTTGTTGAGTAGGTAAGAAAGACCAGATAGTTCCCAAAGCACTTAAAATACTACAAACAATAAGGAGACATATATTCAAAGTTTTCTCTTTCCAACTCATCCTCCTTCCAAATAATTTTAAATTGACAGTACAAGGAAATATAACAGACATGAATAAAGAGAAAAAGCTTCCCAACACACCTACAACTCTTTCAAATTCAAGTATTTGTAATGCGACTAACAATACAATAGCTGATAATGATATACGAGTAAATGTTCTAAGTGCAACTTGACGTCCTCTACCACTCTTACACAAACCTTCTAATCGTGGAATTGAATGATAATAAATTTCAAATGTTAAGTTGATGGGATTCATAATGAATGCATATTTTGATATCGAATATACCACCACTAGCCAAATCATAAATTGTTCAAGTTTGCGATTGCAACCCTGCGTTGCAATTAAGTTTTGTGTAACCTGTAGAGAGACATATTATCAGCATCTTTACTTTGGCGTATAAAATAATTTAGTAGCATAACTTACTTCTTGCATGACAGTATTGCCAAACATTAAATAACCGCATACTGCAATAAGGAATTTTAAAGCAGCTGTTAATACATAAGTGCAATTAACCACTCTCGGATATTGTTTTGGATTTTGCATATCTCGATATACATTTGGAAATATGACGTGTCCTGTTAACAAATAAATTGCTCGTGTAAATAAATTGTTTATAAGTATCCTTCATTTCCCAATAGCTTACCCGTGAATCCAGCCATGATCAGTCCAAAGCTCATTGGCACGTTGTACCACCGGAAAGGGAAGATATCGGTTTCCATGGGATCAATTAAACTACCAGGTCTTTCATGTTTCGCAAATCCATCGATTATCATAAAACTTACCAAACATATGGCACTTAATATACCAAACAATGTTAAATATGAAAAATGTCTTATGGTAATCAAAGTTAATGGTGTCATGATCATCCATGCGATAACTTTTAGTAACATTAAGGGTACATCCGGGAAGATCGCGTATAATGAATCTCCGATCAAGATAATAAGTGCTACAGCCAAAGTTAAAAGTTCAAGACAGAACAGTACCGAGATAAAAATTCTTGATTTTTCTCCAAACGCATTAGCTCCTAACAAAAGTAATCGATTTGTTAATTTATTGCGTAGGAAAGGTAAGGCGTGTGATGAAAGTTATTAACCTATATCAGCGCAAGTGTATAATCTTTCGTCGTTATCCAAACATTTTTTAATTATTTTGGTTGTATAGTTTGTTGTTATCAAATAGCAAACGAAAATCGTAATTCCAAGTGTCCAACCAGCGTATTTAAATCCAAGTGGTAATGTCAAAATTCCAATTCCTATATATATATATATATAAAAAAAAAAAAAAAATTTTTTTAATCCATTAATCCGGGTAAACTAACAGAATATTATTTCTTATTATATTTTCAATTACCGATGAAATTGTTGCAAGAATTGAAAATTGATTGTCGAAAATTTGTCTCAACTCGCTCAGGAATTTCTTTATCTGTAGATGATGAAGCTAAAACGTATGAACCCCTAATAAACATGAAGTTTTTGTAAAAATAAAAATAAAAATAAAGAAAAAATAATGTCATTATTCATTACATACTTTAAATCTTTTCGAACGATAGGAGTATGCTCAGAAATTATCGTTGGACGTATCTTATGATCGTCAGCAGTATTATTATCGGTAAATGAGATTCCAAATAAATCTTCTCCGATTTGATTTGTATTAGCAGAAATTAACTTTGAATCATAAACATCTTGAGCATCTTGTGTAATTGATCCATAATTTGAGGGGGGGCTATGAGGTGAAGGAGATATTGTGTTATAACTTTGAATTGAAGATGGTCCTGGATTTTGAATTAGTCCTCCCGGTCTATAATAATAAATTTGTCCAAACGTTCCCGCTTGTTCATAATTGCTTCCGATAAATGAAACTGGAACGACAAAATTGTTGCTCGTGTAGGTACTATAATAACGAAATGTATGGTTAATGAAATCGAAAACTTGTTAAATTAAATCGAGCAATGTTTACCTTGCGGTGAGACTATAATTCCTTGTCCATGATTGTAATGCACCGGTTAGAGAAGATGCAACGTTGGTTAAATTGTTTCCTGTTTCACTTCGTCTTTGATGACGTGATGGAATGTTTATAGGTAAAGAATCAGGATTGTTTTCTACTCTTGCCATTTTATTTTTGTAAAAAGAAAAAAAAAAAATTTCTTATACTTTGGTTGCTTTTAAAAATATATAAATACATAAAATAAATAAATAAAAGAATTTGTAATCAACGGAATCATGATTCACCTTTAGTTAAGCAACTAGTACGGTTTTATGAGTCTAAGACAATAGTTCATTACAATGTCCAATTTAAAACGAAATTAATGTTAGATTAAGCACATCAAAATTTATTTATCAAACATGAATGAACTCATCAAACAATTCTAAATAAATGAAATCAGCGATTTGTTTATTTTATTCTGCCAATTAGGAAATACTTTTTTTAAAAACCTTTTGTTATTGACCTAATTTGTTTAATAGTAATTAATAATAAAGGACCTGCAACCGTTTTTAACTAATAAATGACCAAGTAAAGGAGGATCAATGCCACTGAAATCCCATGTAGCCGTAAAAAACAATTAAGCGAAAGTGAATAGCCGATCGCAAAAAAAAACCCCCAAATCAAATCAAATCAAATCAAATGATCTTAAGGTAAGCATCAAGAACAAAAACGTAAATTTGTTATCAATATAACTGGTTCTTGTAAATTTTGGGTTTGTGTAACATTGAATTTTAAGTCATTTTTATCTGTCACCCATTGTGGTATTTAAATTATTAACTGGAAGTTCATTTAAAGTATGGATTTTGTCATATCTTGTCAAAAAGGATAACATCAAAATCTATATTCGGCTCTTTGCATCTTTTGTATCTTCTTTATATTCTTTTATACCACAAAAAAGAAAAGTTATATATCAAAACTTAATTATTACATACCGTATTTTAGCAATGAAGGCTATGAAACTTCTTTTTATATTATTCCAAGCATAACACTAACGTAAATAGGATTTTACAAAGTGCTGAGCATCCCAAATGAAAATTTGGTTATGAACGAGGAATGCACCTATGTAACCTATGTATACAGAAACAAAAAAATCTTTTATATTTTAAATATAAAGGATGCATATGCTTTTACAACCGAGGAAAATCTGTCTAAATTTATTATTTCTTAATCATCTTAAAATTCAAAGAAGGGAAGATGCTCTTCGCAACATATTTAGCGACCAAGTCAAAAAACTTTGTCAGATGGTTTGGGACCGCGTACAATTTTTTAATTACGAATAATATTCAATTTTTTTTTTTGACCATAAATAGATTAAATTTATTAAAGTTTAATTGTTAATTGTTTCAATATCCTGAAATTAAAGAAATACACTAGCGTTAATCTATCGAACCAAATTAATCAAACAGTCTACAACATTAAGAAATTGTAAGTATTTTTTAGTGCCTGCATAATTTTGATCGTCTGTTATTATTTTGATTGTTTTGTTTCACTTTCATATCGAAGAGACATATGCACCTATTATAAAGTTTCGTACGACAAATGTTAACACAAAAAGCTAAAATCCCCCCCAAAAAATTTAATTGTAATGTATTTTTAATATGTTACAAAAGAGTAAAGATGATTTGAATTGGTATTTATGTAATTCGTTATCCACAAACTTAATATTAGATTTAGAATTGTGAAGTAAAGTATACTAATTTTAATAGATACTTTTTATTTTATTTTATTTTATTTATTTCTGTTTTGTTTTTTTTTTTTTAAAAAATAAAAATGCATGAAAAAAAAGTCAAAGTAAATTTTTTGGTAGATAAAAATAATATACAAATGAAATTGCTACTTTTTTGAATTTTTTTTTTTTTTCTTTTTCTTTTTTTTTTATAAAAAAAAAAAAAAAGTAAGTGTCCTTTTTTTTAGCTGTCTATAGAATAATCTTTTTTTAAAAAAAAAATAACGTAAAATCCCTCTTAAAAATTTCCTCCACTCTATTCTTCCAGAACCCTTAATGACCTTTTTGAGCAGGCAAGAAAGACCAGATAGTACCCAAAGCACTCATAATGCCACAAACAATAAGAATAAATATATTCAAAGCCTTTTCTTTACAACTCATCCTCCTTCCAAATAATTTCAAATTGGCAGAACAAGGAAATAAAGCAGATATAAAGAACGAGAAAAAACTTCCCAAGATTCCCATAACCCTATCGAATTCGGGTATTTGTATTGCGATTAATAATACCAAAGTTGATAACATTATACGTGAAATCAATTTAATTGCAGTTCGACGTCCTCTACCACTATTGCACCATTCTTCTAATCGCGGAATCGAGTGATAATAAATTTCAAATGTTAAATTAATTGGATTCAAGATTAACGCATATTTCGCTATCGGATATACTGCCACTAGCCAAATTATAAATTGGTTAAGCATGCGATTGTAGCCTTGTGTTGCCATTATGTTTTGTGTAATCTATTTCACAAGCAAAGGAACATCATTAGTATGTTGCGTCACATTAAATCTATGATTAAAGTTGCATAAAGCGTGATTAAGTCAATGCGCCTACCTCTTGCATAACAGTACGTCCAAACATTAAGTAACCGCATACGGCCATGAGGAAATACACGATGGTTGTTAGCACATAAGTGTAATTAACCATTTTTGGATATTGCTTTGGATTTTTCATGTCTCGATATACGCTTGGAAATACGGCATGTCCTGTTTAATGAATAATTACTTAATTTGTACAATAAATCGGGATATGTCAGAGTTTCATTCGATATTGATATCTTACCCGTGAATCCAGCCATGATCAGTCCAAAGCTCATTGGCACGTTGTACCACCGGAAAGGGAAGATATCGGTTTCCATAGGATCAATCAAACTACCAGGGCTTTCATGTTTTGTAAATCCATCGATGATCATAACATTCACCAAACATATGGCGCTTAATATACCGAGTAATGAGAAATATGAAAGATATCTTATGGCAATCAAGGTTAATGGAGTCATGACTATCCATGCGATTACTTTTAGTAAGATTAGGGACGCATCTGGGAAAATTGCGTGTAATGAGTCTCCAACCAAGATAATGAGCGCTACCGCCGAAGCTATAAGTTCAAGACAGAATAACACCGAGATATAAATTCTCGTTTTTTCACCAAATGCTATCGCTCCTAAAAAGGTAAAATCCGGTTGTTAATTTACGTGTCAAAAAAAAAAAAAATTTTTTCACTCGCCAAAGAAATTTACCGATATCAGCGTAAGTGTATAATCCCTCGTCATAATCCAAACATTTTTTGATAACCTTGGCAGTATAGTTTGTTATCATTAAACATGAAAAGAAAATCGCAATTCCAAGAGCCCAGCCAGCATATTTAAATCCAAGCGGTAATGTCAAAATTCCAATACCTATGAACATTTTTTAAAATTAATTCGGGTAAATCCGGTAAAACGCGGAATGACAGAACAGATCAGTGTAGATTAACAAATTACCGATTAAAACGTTACAGGAATTGAAGATTGATTGTCGGAAATTTGACCCAACTCGGTCAGGTATTTCAACCGTAGACAATGGTACCGAGACGTATGAACTCCTAATAAAAATGATTCGTAAGATATATAAGGTTTGCGATTTCATAAAAAAAAAAAAAAAAAAAAAAAAAAAAAAAAAATTTCATTATTAACACGTACTTTGAATCTGATCGAGACATTGGGGCGGGAATTTTCATTGGTCGTTTCTTATAAGCTTCCGCAGAATTTCTCCACATAGAACCATGACTATTGTTGATAAATGAGGTTCCTAAGAAATCTCCTTCTTCCGTTATACTTCCGCTAACTGTATCTAGATTCGGATAACGATTAATCTGTGCCATTGATCCATAATTTTGGGGAAGATTATGAGGCGAAAGGAAGGTTGTATTCGCCGTAACATAACTTAGATTTGAAGAAAGGATTGATCCCGGATTTTGATTAAATCTTCCCGGAGTATAATAAGAATTATCATGGTTGTCTCCTACGAATGAAGCTGGCACGGCGATATTGTTGGTCATGTATGTACTATTGTAAAAGAGAAGCTTGTATTTAGATCGAAACGCGTTAGGTTACATCGAATGGCAATAAATTTTTAACGTTTTTACCTTGCGGTGAGACTGTAATTTCCCGTCCATGATTGTAATGTATCAGCTAGAGAAGTTGCCATGTTTGTTAGATTATTTCCAGTTCCGCCTCGTCTTTGACGAAGCGATGGAATGTTTATGGGTGAAGCATCAGAATTGCTTCCTTCGCTTGACATTTTTTGATTAGTGAAAAATTTGATATTTTGTTAAAAAGAGTTTATTTTTCTATCTAAAAAAAAAAAAAAAGAAAAAGAAAAAAGATTTTTTTTTTGTCTATTTATAAGAAATTATTAGGAAAAGTATTCCTTTTTTTGTTTTTTTGATTTTTTTTTTGACGAAAAACCGAATGGTGAGGTTTTTGAAAAAATTCGAATAGGTAAATATATCTAAAATTTTCTGTGGGTGATGACATATAATTAGATGCGATGTTTAAATCACTATCACGAAATCACAAAGGATTTTCATTTCACATAATAAACCTTATCAAGTTTATTGGTGGTTCCCAAAGATAACTTTTAAGTTTTTTTTTTTTTTTCTGTTGTTGTTGTTGTTTTAAATAAAGTAATGTTATGATTTAAAATATTTTTTTTTTTATATTTATTATAGTTAAATAAATAATCAAAACACAATGATTAAATTTAAATTTAAAACAGATTGGTGTTATTCCCCTGCTTTATTTTTAAATAATTATAATAATAAATACACATGAAACGGTTTCAATGAGATTTTTAACGAATAAAAAAGGAAAGGAACTAGACTATCCAAGATTGGATGAAGCGCCTTTAATTGTATTGCGTTCCCATTATTTAATAATGATCATCGGGGGGAAAAAAAAAAATAAAAAAAGATAATTTCGGTCCAATCTCTCTCGAGATTTATCGTTATTTGATCATTATGATTTATTCTTCAAATATGGTGAATATTGTTGTTCCGAAATAAAAAAAAATCAAATTTTGAATAAAAAAAAATGTTATTAAGAATAACGAATTCGGTTTAAAAATTCGATTGTAACATTGGAT